GTCTTTCACAGGCATGACACTTGAACATCTGCTGATAGAACTTGCTTCTCTAACAGATATGTCTATTGCTTTCAATTCCCTCTGTTTTTCATGGTTGGCTTCAGCATCAGATGCAAAGACATTAATTGTAGAAGATTGGTGGTCATGTGACCAGGTCTACTAACCTAAGGCAATTCTTTTTTTCTCTTTAATTTATTTACTTTTCATTTTGATGTCATTTGTCTCTCTTACCATTGTGTTTTCTTCTTGATTCTTTTTTTTTTTTTTTTTTTACTTAATGGCTTTCTGGGAGGGAATCGGTGTGTGTATAACTGACATGATATTGCTTCCATATCATTACCGAAGGATCCTTCTGGTGGCCAGGTATAGAAGAGTGGAGGTGACTGGTAAATATTCTTTTCTGATTAGGAATGTTACACATGGCACATACAACAAACTCATAGATAGCATAAACAGCAATTTTGTGGTTGGCAAAAACAAGACAAAAAATGTGTTTGCTAATTTTTTCTTTCTTTTAACATATTTTTTTAATGTTATTCTAGTAAAGTTAGTTATAAGGTTTTTCTAAGTTTGATTGGTTTTGTTGATTGATGATCACATATCACACAAATATTTATCAGATTCAATGTTTTTTTTATATCAGAATTAAATGAAATGAAAAATAAAGAAAATCTTTGAATGTATAATAATTGGGATCAACAGCATTTCATTTTAAAGTTGCAATTCCTTTATTAGAACTGCTGGAAAATGACACTTCTTGATTTTAACTTTAAAATTCAAGAATTAAGAATTTACTATTCAAACCGGTATACTCATCTTAGTTGCTATACTTACGTTTCAGTCATTGTACACATGAGCCTTCTTCAGGTGTCTATCATCTTTAGGCATCTTCTTCTATGTGCCACGTCTCTTCAGGACCTTAGCAATGTAGGTGGACCTGTACATCTACTCTTCAGGGGATATAAGCAATTTACTGCTTATATTTATTGATTTTCTTTTCTCTTTTTTATCCCCTAAGCATGGAAAGTTGAATGAGAACAACTTTCAGATAAAAAAAATCCAGGAAGGTTACAATGACGGACATCAGAAAAAAGCCAGAGGGTACAACAGCTGAAATTCTGTGATTGATTGATTTGTTTTCTACAGTTTACCAACCTTTTGTAGGTTATTTAAAGCCAGAAAATATTTTTAGATTGTAAGAATTTTTTTATTAATATTTTTTTTTTAATAATAATTATTTACAGATACAAGTCCTACTAATTAACCCTTAGCGAGAGGGAGAATAGGTGGATTCATATCTTTCCCAAGGTATTTGCACATAAGTGAATAGACCTTAGAATTCGAACTTGGCTCTCCAATTTTGAGCCATTATCCATTACACCACCTGCACATTAAAGCTTACAGAATTTGACATTCCTAAGGGGTCACTCATCTAGGTGCTGATCAGGTTCGATATTGCTTAACGTTGGTGATTGTATGAGGAACATTGTTTCAATGTGATTTGACTGTAAGCCTGAAATGCTTTGAATATTACAACAAAGATGAGTAGTAATTATTGATATTTTTGAGTCACAGATTATCCTTAGATGTGTACATAAAATGAACTTTACTTTAAAGTTCTGTATAAAAAACAAGAGTACTTCAAAAAGTACAAAATTACAACAAAACAGTATATTTTAATACTTCAACTGCTGTGGGCATATTTGTATGCCTTTATAGATCATATATCACTTGAAGAAGGCTGGAGCGTACAACAGTCAAAACATTATGAATATGACAATGAAGATAAGAACACACTTAACAATGTAAATAGTTACAATACATCACAGAAATATAGACAAATCTTTTTTTTTTCTTTTTTTTTTTTGTTATATATAAAAGCAATGGTAAAATTAGCTGTTTCCAAACAGGAAACATTTAGCATGCATTCACCAAACAGTTGGTTTTATTGTCAGTTGAAATTAATAAATCTTTCTTCTTTTTTTATTTTATTTTTATTTTTTTTTTTTTTTTAAATTTTATTTTTATTTAAATTTTTTTAACAGTTTTTCAGGGAATTGTACTTCTCAAGTACACTAAATGCAGCTGTTTTTAATAATGGTAGTTTCCTTAAAAACGTTTTGTTTTTGGTAGAAAGTTAACAGCTTGATTATATTATTATTTTATCTTCTTGTTGCACATGCTACCCATTCTTCTTGTTGCTGCTGTTGAAAGTGTTCATGTGAGTTGTGATAATTGATTTAGCTATTTGTTTGTGATTGTGGTATATATAGGTATCTCAAAAAATTCACTAAAATGACCATACATAATAAAAAAAAAAATATGCCCCTAAAATGGCAAAATCTTTTATTGTCAAAATCTTTATTATTATGAAGAGGAAAGATCAAAGGATTTTTTGATATAAAATTATTTTTTTTTATCCTTTGTAGAACCTTTGAAAATTTGGTTAAAAATCCTGTTTCTTCAGTGTCAATGTTGTACTATAAATTAGTGTGGGGAAATTTTAGCATCTTTTACAGTATAAAACTCACTGTTGGAAATTCTTGGAAAAATTAAATAATTGTCAGATTTAAATGAATCTTCCAGTACTTATAAAGGAATGAAATTGTTTGAAATGTTTACTTTTTAGAAAATCTTTGTAAAACATTTTATTTTATTTTATTTTTTTATTATATCTGTTAACACCCCACTTATTTAATTTTATGAGATTTCCAGAAATTCATTTTCATAGTGCATAAGGTTTATATTAGTTATAAGGACAAGTTTTTGGAGAATTTACATCATTAAATTTTTTTTTGTCATGCAGAACACCAGCTACATAAAATCTGCTCTGAATCATAAAATAAAACATGCAATAAAACTAAGACATTATTTAATTAGGAATGCTTTTAATTGCTTTTATGTCTAAAATATATTATGAACACTATTTTCTTAAAACATTTTTTTTTATGAATAAGGAATTTTTACAAGAATTACTTTCATTTTTTAAAATTTTAATTAGAATAATTTATAAACTTTTAAATCCTTAAATTTGTAGCATTCAAGTGATATTGTCATTAAATTAAGACTGTATTAATCATAAATGGAAATGATCACAACAATTTAAGGACCCACAATATTTTAAAAAGAATTTTGAATTTATTTTATGTGTGTAAGAAATGTTGATTTTTGTAAATACAAATGTCCAGATGTGATATTATCAGAAAATAAGAGCAGTAACTAGAGTAAATTTAAAATTTGTTGCTGATTTTCTAACATTTCCTCAATAAGCATGTTTGTAAGTTAGACTATAAAACCAAAATACCTAAAATTAAATAAAATATTAGGTTGCTTAGAATATTTTCTTAAATTTTTAAGATTACTGGGCAGTTAAAAATATAAATTATATAAAATGATGTTCATTTTATATTCATCAAGTAATAGTGATAGTTATGTCCCCTCTTAGATTTATGTTTGGCAATTGTTTTTCTATCGAGAGAGTTGTCAACCCTTATAAAAACATCCACTTCCATGTTAAAATTGTTTTTCTGTGATATTTTAAACTAAAACTAAGTAATATTTGTTTCAAGTCAGATTAATTAAACTTTAAATCACTTAATCTTCAAAAATTAAAGTTTCAGAAAAGTATAATTTATTTTTGAAAGATTTTTAATAAAGAGAATTACATTGAAACTGAAATTTACAAAATCTTTTTAATGAAACAGTTTTTTTTTTCTGGAAATTAGACTTCTCAAATCCACTGTTATAAATGGGAGTTTACTTATAAACCTTTTGTTTTTAGTAGTGTGAAATGTTGACAGTTGATTATATCACTATTTTCTTTTCAAGTTACATGTCTTACCCATTTTTGTTGCTGCTATTGAATGACTTCAAGTGATGTGGTTTTTGTTATTTGGTAGATCTATAACATATATAGTTTTAGTATTGAAATAATTAAATGAAAAAGTTTTATGCATGAATAGGTGCTAATTGGTAATAAAATGGAATTTATAATGTTGATATTCTGGGTGGGGTTGGAATGAGAAATCGGAGAGCTGAGTTTAAATTCCAGTTAAGTTTGTTGCATCCACTTCCATGCAAAATACCCTTGAGAAAGGTATTACTCTAGCTCTCCTCCCCAGCTGTGGGTTAAATAGTACAATTTGTATTACAGAAAAATGATCTCCAAAACATTGTTAATGAAATATTCACTCAAAATAAAAAAATTCTTGCAATCCAAAATATGTTCCAGCTTTGAATCCCCTCCTATCCTTCATAGCAATAATATTTATCCCCAAACTCTCACATCTTGTCCATGTTTTGCTATCCATTTATACAAGCTCATTAGGCTGGCGACTCAGTGTTTCCTTCTGACCCTCTTGTTTTTATTATGTTCTGTGAGTGTCAAATTCTCTAAACCTTCCTTCCTCATTATGGGTCCCAGTAATTTAAACTTTCTGATTCTAAGTACAAGTGTTAAGCTTCCTTTTTCCTTAAAACTTCCTTGTTTCTCAAATACTATTTCCATGGTATTCTCAGCATACTCCTATAGAGCCACATCTCTGTTGCTTCTAGTTTGCTCTTCATCAGTGAGGAAATTATTCACTGTTATATAGGAGTGTAGAAATGAATCAAACAAGTGAATAGAAGAGACTTCAACTTGGGTGCATGTGGGGCAACAGTAACTGTCAGTTTCTGCCTTGAAGTGTTTGTTCACCAATTGATAGCTTTGTCAACAAGAGTTGTCTTCTTTCATATTAGTTGTTATTAAAGGGTAGTGAGACAATACAGGTGGCACTGTTGACAAAATTTGCACAAGTATTGTGGTACTGATATGCATGAAAATAGTAATGCTTGGTCACTGGCTAATCACATCTGAACTTTCATTGGGACAAAGAATACTTAAGTCTGGAATTTTTTGAGAGAAGGGGTATTTTTCCTATCTCTGCTGTCAGTGTGAAAGACATAAGGTGGGCTGCTGATATTGTCTGTTGTTTCGTTTTCTCCTGTTCTTTGGCTTACAGCCACATCACATTGAAACACAGGTTCCTGTACAATCACCAAAGTTAAGCATCACAGAGTCTGGTCAGTACCTAGATGGGTGACTGCTTGAAAATACCAGGTGCTGTAAGCTTGGATGTGTGGGTGGTATAATGAATAATGGCTTGGAATTCTTAATTGCCGAGTTCCAATTTCCATTTGGGTTTGTTATATTCATTTATATAAATACTCTTAGGAAAGATATGAATCCACCTCTTCTCCCCCCAGATGTGGGTTAATTAGTAAGACTTGTATCACTAAATCATTATTATCTCCCCCAAAAAAGAATTCTTACAATCTAAAAATATTTCCTGGCTTTAAATAATCTGAAAACCATTGATAAACTGTAGAAAATATATCAATCAGATCTCTGGTTCTTTGATTACAAAGATTGATATTACATAGCAGTTCAGAAAAATCAAACCAAAGTGTTGCAATTAATATACAAATATCGACAACTTTGTGAGAATTCAAGTGTGAATAATGCAAGACTTTTGTGGCAGTATGAAACGGCTTAAAAGTGAAAAGGGCTTGGATTTGCTTTGAAAGCTCAAGGCACTTCTTTCAAAAGTTTCACTAATGAGTTTATTGAAGTGTACTTTTTTCCTTACAGGTAAATAAGAGATTTTCCTTTCTCCTGAGATTAAAACTTTGTATTTTTACCATCAGATAATTAGTTTTCCATTTGTTTATGAACCTTGCACTTAGCTTTACTCTTGGTTGCCATGGCAATGGTACAAATAGACATAAGCTAATAAATGTACCAAAATATTATCGCATACAGATAAAATTGTACTGTTAAAGTTAAAGAAGATATTAACACAGGTGATAGCATAAAAGGCAATCATTATCTTGGTGATTATAATAATTAACAAATTAAAATGGTTTTAATCTTCATGATGATGATAACAGGGAATGAGATCATTAAATGAGGTAAAAGATAATAAGATTTTTGTTTTTAGCACTGGTGATAATTTTAAAAGCAGAACAGGAGAATAGTGGACAAGGTAAGGGTTGCAATAACTAGGTCCTTTCAGAACTTTGCCTCTAGTTATTTTTCCAATGGCTGTTGATAAAAAAAAGAAAAAAAAATCTCACCCCAGCATGTCCTCACCCACCAACCATAGATTGTGAATAAAAATTAGCCAGCATTAAATTACTAAAACAAAAGAAAGCATCCTGCTTTCTTCCTGAGAATTGTAAATTTTGGAAAATGAAGATGTTAAAAGTGATGGTGATAAAAACGGTTAACAATGAATAATGATGATGATATTTAAAATTGCAGTTGATGTTAATAGCAATGATGAAATTGAAGGTAATTATGATGATTATTGTAATATGAGGCAGTGATTGTCAAGATAATGATGAATAATTTGATGATGATGATGATTTATGAAATGATGATGAAGGCTGCAATATTTTGCAGGACAAGATGGACTTGTTAGGGAAGAAAAGAGAGATGTTCTTCTGAACTGCTTTCTCTTTACAAGCAATTTAACAATCACAAATAATGGCGAGAAGGGAAAGAAGTTATACAGTATTTGTTAAGGAATAATCTCTAAGGGAGACAGAAATGGATATACAAGAGGAAAGGTTAGGGGAGGTTGAGAAAGAGCGAGCTTATGTGTAAGGTTTTGGAAAGAGAAGGGATTGAGGCCAAAGGTTGATTAAGAAAGTGAACAAAATTTGATACAAAATAAATAATTATTTTTTTTTTTTTTGGGTGGCAGGGAAGGGGGAGAAAAAGACAATAATGACTGGGAAGTAAAATGTGGAATGCATTTTGATAAAATGTGGAATTTTCCTCCTGAAGGTGTGGAAACTGCAAATGTGAAATGCAGTGCAAAGGTACCAGTATAATGAATTTCCTCCCGTCACAATTTATGGTTAAATATTCTCATTTGAGTGTTTTGTTTTTAGTTTATGCTTTTTTTTGTCTATTTTATTTAACGGTTGTAGTTTGTTTGAGGGCATCTTTTGGTGTGGGTGAGATATGTTTTTTTTTTTATTGTTGTTGATTTTTTGTTTTTTTTACACATTTATTTAAAATATCTAATTTGCAATTTAAGAAAATCTAAAAAGTTTTTGTATATAAACACAGAATATTGGGATATTTATGGAAGACTAAAAGTACAGTTGTGAAAACATTGCAGACTTTGACATGTTGATGTGCACCAGTCAGACATTGAAAATACTTTACAATACTAAATTGACGACAAAGGACCAGAAGGATTCCATCTAGCTCTACTTTGAGATCTTATATATATATAGAAATAAGTGTTATTTATCAGTATTTGGTTGATCTTTAATCAGACACATTGCTAATGAGAGATTCCCCTGAGCCCCCAAAAATCATTTGCCCCCACTATGTGAAAATGAGCTAATTTTAGTGTGCAAATTCTTACTACCCTCTTCTGTCCCCAAATTAATTTCAGACATTCTGGCAATGGGCCTGTTTTTAATTCTTCCTTTTCACTTAAACAGACCAGAGGCAATCTCAATATCACATTAGCTTGATATATTGAAGAAAAAAATTTAAATTTAAAAAAAAAATTTAAATTGAGATGAGATTGCAGTTTGTTGTATTTTCATTACTACTCAGTAATGAATTCAATCCTCATTGGGTACCCCATATAAAATTCAACATTAAATGAGCCTACAAGAGCTGACATGTAAAATCAACCAACCAACCTAACCTAACCTTTATGTTCTCATAAGCCTTGCAATAAAAAATGAATGATACTTAGCTTCTTTTTTTTTTAACCAGTACTCTGTTAGGATTTTAAATTTGAAATAAATGGATTTAAATTCTGGTTCTTGTTAAATTTTTATGAATAATTCTTTCATCTTAAACATAGTTGCTCTCTGTCACAACTATTCAGTCATTTTATGAATCAGAAATAAAGAATAAGTTTTTGACCATTTTTGCTTTAATCCCTGTATCCTGTCTTAACAATGACAACTGTTATAACATTTGAGCTACAAAAACCAATGGCCTTCAAAAGATCAAATTTAAGTACCTTATTTCTTATTTTCTTCAAATATTTAGTACTGTTATATTTGAAGTAACACTAATAGTAACTAGCAGGACCCATATAAATTACATGGAATTACTAATAATTTTTTTTCATATTGTATTCTGTACTTTTCAACCCATAACTATTCCCAGATAGTTATAAAAAAAGTGACATAGACTGTTTTTTTTTTAAAAAAATACTGAAATGTCCTCAACAGATCATTAGGTCATGAAAAATAATTTAACCCCTCACTACAAACAACTGCCTTTATCTAAGATGACCCCTCTCCAATTCTTCTCTTTATCACACTCTCTTTTTGTATTTCTACATCCTTCTCTTTCTTTCTGTTTTACTCTCAATGTGCTTCTTTCTTTCTGTTTCCCTCTCAGATGCTCAACGCAGTCTGTGTTTAATAGGATTTTTGATCAGACGAACATCATATATGTTTATTATATTATAAAATGGTTATAATTATTAAAAAAAAGATTTTAATTTCAAAAGGTCACATGGAGTTCAGGGGATGTATTTTTCCTCAACAGATCATTAGGTAACAAAATATGATTTAACCCCTCACTACAAATAACTGCCTTCATCTAAGATGACCCCACCAATCCCTCTCTGTGCCACACTCTCTTTTTGTCACTCTACATCCCTCCCTCTCTCTCTCTCTGTTTCCCACTCTGTATCTATAATGCCAAGCGTGATGCACATAATACATTGGTACAAGTTTATTAATATATAGATATTATCTTTAAATTTTTATTATTAGCGGAAACTTTCATAATTATTATTATCATTCAAGAGCCAATGAATAAGTTGTTACACTAGGGCTCCCTGAAGAAAAAGATTGGAGTTCAAATCTTACCTTATTCTTAATTTCCAATTTGTGCTGTTTTCTATTAGTTCCAGAATTATGATCAGAGAGTTTTGAATAAAAAGTAACTAGGGAGAAATATTGATGAGAGATTAATAATCATTGACAATTCTTCTTACAGAAGTAATAAGAAAATCAAAGAGAATTTTATTAAATCCCACTGTTGGTACTAATATAACCAATTCTTAAATTTATATCACTCTGTATAGGAATGATTGCTAAAAACATCCCCTCCCCAAATTTATAGAAAAATTGTACAAATGTAGGCTGGAATTTCTTCCTAATCAATAAAATGAACCACTCCTCACCCTCATGCACCATACTTTTGATCTTTCTTGCTTTGATGTCAAAATGCTATAATCACTTGACTGTATCCCTTTTGTGTGTGAACAGCATTCTTATTTTGCCAACTTTTTGTCTTATTACTGTTGCTTTACCTAGTTTTATCTTATATATATACACTACAGGACAAAAGTTTGGGGCCACCCTGCACTTCTTAAAAAATGCATTCGATGAGATATTTTTATATTCTTTTAAAGTAAATGATAAAATTTCAGTAACTACAGTGTATTTGCTTTTATTTTGGTAAAAATAAACATTAACAATAAAAAAACTATCTTGCAACAGCATCATATTTTGTTTTCGTCAATAAACCACCACAAAGACAAATCCAAATCTGAACTTTTTAGTAGTATGAAGTGCTTGGAGAGAGACTGAAAAATAAAAGAAAATACACTGTAGGTACTTACATTTTATCTCTTACTTAATAAATACAAAAATATCTCATTTTAAGATGTTTTTTGCTTAGTATTATTTTGCCCTGTTCTTTTTTCTTTTCTTATTGTTTATTGAAAACTATTATGTTTGTTGGGCATTTTTGTCAATTATACTTAACCATGGCCAATTACTATGCATGTTATAGACAGAAATAAAGCATTGTACTTTTTCCCCCTTTTCTATGATGCCTAACTTAGTCCCTCTACAAGTATTGGTTTCAATTTTTAGTAAGCTAAATTATTCATGCTCATTAGTATCCTAAATTAGAAGCATATATCACTATTGATATTTAGTTAAGATTTAATAGATCCTTGTTTCACTATAAGATTCTATAAAACTAAAACATTGACCTGATAACTTATCAATAAGTTCTACTTAAATATGTTCTTAAATAGTTTTGTCACATCTTGACTTTTATATGAATATCATGCATAGCATCCAGCTCATTTGGAAATGTCTAAAAACTATCATCTGTATGCAACTTTTTTCTTAGATCGGTGATTAAAAAATAGGTTCAAATGAATAAATCCTATGAGACAATTCTTCATTGGGCCCTACAAAATTCCAAAGAGCTTTATCAAATAAAAAAAACACAACACTTGAAGACTTCCAACAACAAAAATGTGTAGTTCATGCAACTAGAAGTGAAAATAATGATATAATCAAACTGTTAACTTTCCATACTATCTTAAATAGTTTGGTAGGAAACTCCCATAAAGTTAATTTCTCTTTTAATAAGTACAGAGTGCGATGGGTAAATTGTTCCATTTTATATTTTTAATTTCCATATTGTTTGTTGTTCGTTTTTGATTTTGTTGACTGTACACTATAGTAGGGTTAGTTAGGCACTGTCTATGAGAAAAAGAGCACAATGATGCATTTCACTCCACCAAAAATTTTGAAATGGCATGCTGTACTGCTTGGGATCCATGCCAAAAGCTGCAATACAAACTGAAATGTTTGTATTGAAGCTTTTGGCATGAATCCCAAGTAGTACAGCATGCCATTTCAAAATTTTTGGTGGAGTGAAGTGCATCATTGTGCTGTTTTTCATTTCAGAGTGTTTGATATCAATCTAAGGACAGTGCAGAGAATTTGGAAAGAGTTGGATGAGTCTAATGGTGATTACAAAGGTGTTTGGAGTGATCATTAGTGATGGCAACATTATGCCTCCATTCATCTTCCCACAGGGTATCAGACTCAACACAAAGACCTACATTGAGTGCTTTGAGAAGGTATTGATGCTCTGTTTAGAAGAATGGCTAGACCCTATATCTGGCAACAGGACACTGCATCATGCCACATAAGCAGGAGAACCCAATCATGGCTATCAGACAATTTCTGCACCCACATCACCCTTACATCTACCACCTAACTTTCTAAACTGCCACCCTATAGATTATTACATGTGGGGCGCAGTTGAGCGAGAGACCAACAAAACTCCTTGTAATACCAAAGATGAACTGAATGCAAGGATTATGACAGCATTCATCAACTTAAACAAGGAGACCATCCAAAAGAGTTGCAGGAGATTCTGAAGTCATCTGGAGGCCATGGTTGAAGTCAATGGTGATTTTATAGAATAAATTTACTCTTCAGTATTTCAAGATATTTTTGTGTAATTTTGGTAAATATATCTGTTAAAATGATATGCCAGTGTTGTCATTTTAGCATAATTTAAACAACAATTTATCCATCTCACCCTGTATTGCATTCTTAAGATGAAAATTACTGAGAGTACTGCTAGTGAATTTTGCCAAAATGCCAATTTGCGTCCCACATTTTTTCAAATCTCGTTCCTAGGTAGGTTATGTATTGTTTACCTCTATCCTGTGAGTATAATATTTAACAAGCCCTCTTTTCACATTATGTGCCCAAGAAAAATTTCAACTATCTCTCTCTGATGTTAAGTATAATTGTCCTTTTTGTTTCCATTTTCTCTAAAACTTCATCGTTGCCCATATATTCAGTCTATGATATTTTCAGCATCCTTCTGTCAAGCCACATTTTTGTTGCTTCAAGTTTCTTTTTCATGTGTATGGATATTGTCCAGCATTCACTGCCATATAGGAGAATTGATATTATGTAACAGTTCAGTACTCTTTTCTTTGTTTCTAATGAAATTATGAAGGAATAATATTCTAAGATCAAAGAATGGATAGCCTAAAACACTTTTTTGCTGAAAATAAAATATATGATTCATAGTCCAATGAACACTTGAAATGACAATGACTCATCTCAAAATTGCATAAAACTATAATGTCTTTATTTTCTAATTCTTGCTCTTTTTTTTTTTTTTTCAGATAATTTATTTGGAGTATGTTCAGTGAAGGGAAACCCACCAATTGAGCTCCCTAATTATGACCTAACCAATCCTGAACGTATAAGTCAGTTGGAAAGTGAAATCATGAAACTGCTACTTAATGGCTACACTTGGCAAGACACTTTTGCCCAGTGCATTATCCAGAATTTGTTGATATCTGAACCAGACAGCTCTGATGCAGTGGACTGCTCCATCCACAAATCCCAGCCATTGACTAGTAATGAGAAGCTTGAAGACAACAGGCTAGACTCCATTATCAACGATCGGTCCAATGTAGCCTATAAAATGCCGTACTCATTATCATCTTTACCCCTTTATAAGTACCCAAAATCTGACAAACGAGATGAGATTGTACATGTCCACAAATATTTTGACAAACCAGCCATACCTAGCCGTCGTGCTAGTGGACCTCCAGAAGTAGAACTTATTGATAATTATGCTGAAGATATGTACCCTGATGAAAGTGATGCCCAAATAGCTGAGTCTCCTCTGGATCCCAAAAACTTGTTTATGTCTGATGAAGCTCAGGCACCTTCTTCAGCCTTGGAGGGAAATGGGATCACAGCCATGAAAAGAGCAGGGTCATCTGATGCCACTGGAATGAATGCTGAGGAAATAAGACAGTATCTTGACAATTTGGAAAAGCTTTTGGATACTAATTACAGTTTAGATAAATCAGAAGAGAACACTGAAACAGAAAACCAGGCAATTGACACTGAAGTCCCAAAATCTGGTTATGCTGTTCCTAATGTCATTGCTGACCGATTGCAAGGTTATGAACCTGGTGTTAATCGTTTATTGGACATTGGCTATGATGGCAAAAATGACAATGGTAATGTCAATGAAGATGATAGTTTATCACTTGCTGCTCAGTTACAAGACAGCATCCCCATTCCTGAAGAAACATCTGAAGAACTTATAGATTCTTTACAGGGGGAAGCACAAGGTAATGGATTTTTCATCTTTAATTTTCCTTCTATTTCTTTCCTTTATTTATACTTTATTGTTACAACTCTAACTTGTTTTTTTCTTCTCTATTTTCTCAGATCAATGATAAAATATAGCTTCAAATGAATGAATCATTTGGTCTTAACTCTATCATACCTTAAGAAATTCATTTGATAAAATAGCTAAATTCAACTGCTACTTCTACTTCAGCAGTTTATTTTCTTGCTCTTACCACCTGTTTGCTCTCCCTTCTGTTTGCTTGCTTCCCTGATAACTACAATATTTAAAAATTTAAATGCAGCCTCAGTCACTATCTTTTGTTTCTTGAATCCCATTCACTTTTTGTCCTTTTCCTTAATCCTCTCTATTCTTAGTTTTCTTGTACACTTTCACTCCCTATAATACCTACTAGTGGTATTCCCACCTTGCTTGGGGTTAAATGATTTAAAAAAATCCCTAACTGAATTGTTATAAAAGGTGAATATCTGATATTAATGCAATTCATATATCTCAAAAACTGTTAAAAATCAAATATTACAAGGTGGTTTTATATCAGATATATACATATAATGTTAGGTCACTTTATGAGTGTTATTGGTACTATATAACCCAGCACTACCTGCTGCAAAGTTGTATCAATGGTGATTAAACTGGTTCTCCTAACACGAACTGGTCAGCATCAACCCTATGACCACACCTGGTCATGGGAATCATGATGATTAAAGTAAAAAGTAAATTGATTTCTTTTTCAAATGTTACCAAATTTAGCCTCTTTAGTATTGTGAGTTATGATTTTGGAAATCTATAACATTTACAAAGTTATTAATTTCCAATGAATTGTTGACGATGTGATAGGTGTTAATGCTGTGTATTGAAATACAGCACTACCTGAATGTGAGCTTATTAACTGTAAGTGCATGAAACTTGTGGCATATTTGTGCACTTTCAGCCTTAAAGACTTCAAGAAAATGCATCATCAGATCCTATAGATTGGCACTACAGAATAACAAAGAAAGAACAACAACAAAAAACATGAAAACTTTCAACATTAATAAGAAATGTGTACTAAATATAATTAAAAAGGAAAATAAATTAAGTTTACTTTCCACTCCACCAAAAACAAAAAGTTTGAAAGGAAATTTCCATCACAAGAAAGAATGATACCAGACTTGAGAAGCCTGTTTTTCTGAAAAACTCTATTAAGAGAAAAATTTAAAAAATCTCAACCAACAGTAATGCTGACTATTGTTAATGAATGCTGAATGTTTCCTGTATGGAGACAGTTGTTCTCATCATTACTATTACCCTTCTAAATAATACATAGTTTCTACATTTATGTAAGTTAAGATCACATATTCATCAACCATTTAACTTTGCTAGCTAACTGGGTTCTCTAGCTTTGGAGAAGAATAATTCAATTCAAAACCAGTCTGAAGAGGGACAGGCTCTGTCAGGCTATATTTCCCTAGACATACCCATTGTTACTACAGCTACTGCAGTACATGTGGTGTATCTATGACTCTCATGGGTAATGGAACTCAAGAGTATTAGATAGAATAAACTTCAAATTTCTTAGATGAAGCATTGTCAAACTGACTAGTCTTTCTTGCATCATATTTCTGTTATTTTTTTTTATCACACCTCTCATTCTATAATCATTGCTAAGCAGCATGGGTCTGAGACAAAACCAGAAACAACCAAAATAAGATAAAATATGAGTCACAAACTAATAAGAAATGACATTGTTTCAGTGAAGAAAAGAAAATTAAAGATTTTAACCAGAGAGAATGAAATCAATAGTCTAACCAACTCTTGGGGTACATAATTCATTTTTTATGATTTATCAACCCTTTGCAGGTTATTTAAAGCCATAAAATATTTTTAGATTGTAAGAATTTTTTTTGTGATAGAATAGTTTAAGGATACATGTTTTACTGATTAACCCATAGCTTGGGGGGAAAAAGAGTTTCATACATTTCCTAAGGGTATTTGCACGTAAGTGAATATAACAATCCTGGCTGGAATTGGAACCTGACTATCCAATTAACAGTTTCAAGCATTTATCCATTACACCTACACATTCAAGCTTACAACACCTGGTATTCCCAAGCAGTCACTCATTTAGCTACTGACCAGGCTCAATGTTGCTTAACTTCAGTGATCATACTGATGGTGCTTTAATATGATGTGTCCATAAGTCCAACTTTTAGAAAAAAAATTATTTTAAAAGATATACCTTATATATGGCACAGTCTCTATTTATGATGGTACTGAAACAAATATAACATATCACCATGTTTGATTCAATATAAAATAGAACTCAAGCAACTCTCATTAAAATTTGTTTTGCATTTTCCCACATTAGTTTTGTTTAACTTATCTTTTATTTAGTTACTTCCCACTTGTTATAATGAAATGAGGAGTCTGTTCTAGTACTAACACTAGTACTTGCTAGTATGTATTTAGTGCAAATAATATAATTCTGCTTGTTCCTTCATTCGTTAGTAAGTTAGTTATTGCATGCGTTACACCCTACTTTTAGACACTTGAATCAGCAAAGCAAGTCAGACACTGGAGAGATTTCATAACAAAATGCTAGACCAGCACAACATACACCTGTCAATTAAACTGAAAGTGCACAATGCAATGGTCTTCCCATATCTTTTTTGATGGATGCAAAATGTGGACCTTGTATTGCAGGCATTGGAAAAGTTTCACTTGCAGGCTTTTTGTTTCATACTCAGAATCGCATTACATGCTCGAATTACCTACTTTGAAATTCAGGACTCTGCAGACTCGACCAGCATCGAATAAATGCTCATCAAGGCACAAGTCCAATAGACTGGCCACATCATCTGCATGGAGCAAAATCACATTCCCAGATGCTTGATGTGCAGAGATCCACTTTTTCGCAGAAAAACATCTAAGATGATCAAAGAAATGGTAAAATGATGCAATCAAAATTAACCCCCACTCATTCAAGATCTGATGAAAGAAGCTAGAGGAGTGTTTTGCTGACCCATCATGTTGGTGTGCCTTACCTCGAAGAAGCCTGACATGAAAAAATAATCATTACTTAAAGAGAATAATGCCACTGTGAAACTTTGCCATTGGCTACAACTACCAACTTCCAGTGTCCTCACTGCAGAGTCACCTCTGGATCTGCTGGTAAATCTTCAGACTCAAAGGACAACCATGATTCTTCTTCTTTTATATGCCATGTCCTTTCAAGATGTAGGCGATCATGGTTTTCCACAATTTCATGCCCTTTGTAACTCTTAGTAAAGTTTGTTTTTGCTGTCTCTCCTAATCCCTGTTCCATTACCAGCTTTTTAGGTAAGTTACATGCTGCTTTTCTCTGTCTGTTCTGCCCTCAACATGTCCTGTGAGTGTCACATTCTCCAAGCCCTCTTCTTATGTCTTTCAGAGAATTAGTGAGGCACTTGACAACAAATACATTTCCAGGATGATTACATTAGATATTTCAAAGATCTTTGACAAGGTGTGGTATAAGGGTTACTGCAAAAGCTCTCCAATTATGGAATCACTGGAAGAGTCTTCTCAATTATGAAGTTCTTCCTAACAATAGACTGGCCATGTTGTCCGCATGGAGCAAAATCGCATTCTCAGATGCTTGATGTACAGAGATCCACTTTTTGGCAGAAAAAACATCTAGGATGATCAAAGAAATTGTTAAAATGATGCAATCAAAATTAACCCCCACTCGTTCAAGATCTGACAAAAGAAGCTCAAGGAAGGTCCCTGGAGGTGGTTCTGTATTTGTTAATAGCCAGTCTGCGGTCTCAAGTGATCAATGCAGACATCCCCAAATGTTCACTGCTCAGTTCAAACATCTTCCTACTTTACATGAATGATCTGCCTTAAGAGTATACTCTAATCATTTGTGAATATCTATGCTGATGATACAACGGTATATGGGTGAACCTCCAAAACTATAGATGGCCAGAACTTGGCAGCTGATCTCTTCTCTAATCTAGCTCTCAGTGAGGGAAAAACTGGCTGGTTACATTCACTGCCACAAAAACCAAACTAATGACATTCCACCCTCACTGACTGGACCAAGAACTTTCATTAATTGTGATGAACAGATGTTCCCTCAGAGAAGCCCCATGTCTTGTGCATATTGGGACTTACTCAGCCCAGGCCTCAAGTGTAACTTGTAATACAATTCATCACTAAAGATGCTGGAAATATGGTTGGCTCCCTGTACCACTTCAGAAAGTACCTGAATCCTTGTAAAGATATTTAAAAGAGCCTGACCAGGTTGAAAATGGAGTACTGCTGCCATATATGGGCAGGAGCTACCAAGTCTTCACTTTTGACAAAAAAAAAAGTGTCCAAAAGCATCACCACACACCCATGATTACCTCAATTAAATAATCGATCATTCAATAAAGACAGAAGAAAAATAAGAGACACTGTTTATTTTTAGTGAGAAAAAGAAAGCATACATAATAATAAGAAAGAAAGAGAACTTAACATCTGCTTCAATGAAATAGAAAAATTGTCAATTTCATTTCTTTTAATTTGTACCCCCTTACTCCTTCTTATAATGACCTACATTCCTATTTATGATTTTTATTACAGTATTTGGTTGTTAAGTGAAAAATGTTTAATGATACAATAAGGATAATTTCCATAGGTATTTTATTGTTTTGAAATTCCAATATTAAGAATTATGATAACCATGACATTTTCATGGGTACAGTCAGTATTAAATTAATGTGGATCTTAATATTAAACATGAAAATATAGGAAGGATTTTAAATATTTAAATATTTTCTATGAGTACTGCAATTATAATAAGCTAGACCATACTAAGAGAAACTGAAAGAATATTGCACAGCAAAGATGCCTTCCATAAGCTAAACAAAGTAGTAATAAATAGAAAACTTTCATTAGAAGCAAAAAGAATACTGAACTGTTATGCAATATTGGTCCTCTTATATGGCAATGAATGCTGGGAAATCTCATCAC